GCTGAGCTTCAAAGCTAAGGACTTGACGGTGAGATGTCTGCCCTACTTAAATGCAATGTCTGTAGCTCGGTACTGGCGCTGTCGGACTGCCTGGTTGCATGCTCATGCCTGCCGTGGTATGTGGACGTGTGGTGTTTTCAGAACTGATGAGGCTGGCTGAGAACGGCACCTTGTTGGAGTTGGACGTCAGTGCAAATCCGCCAGCTCCTAAGATCCTGCAGCAGTTAGCGCCAGTCTCAGTTTGACCTTGTCTAAATAAATGTTTTCGCCCCATGCTTGGAAGGAGACATCTTCTGTAGGTAATACCGGAGGTGAGAGGCTATTCAATCTACTGCCGACCGTTGGGCACGGCTCCTGCTCCCAAAGTGTCTTGTTTTTTTGTCACTCTGGTGTGCTTTTGCCGGGTAACGAAAGGCTCCATCAAGTTGAAGAAGAAGGAGTTCATCAAGGCACGGGGAATGACGGAAACGCGGATGCATGAACTGGCAACACTGCAGCGACAAGGAACCACTGGCCATGCACGTCAAGATCTATGAACGAGAGCTTTCCCAAAGTAAGGAGATGCATGCTCGCAGCAAGACGTGCATACACGCAGATACACACGAGTGCAACGATGCAGCTCACGTGCAAAATGCATGCTGCACAAAGTACATGTGCGACATGAGTACAGTACATACACACATAAATGCTACATGCATACATCATGTGTATGTATGTGTGTATATATATATGTGTGTGTATATCTATATATATATATATGTGTTTGCATACATGTATACTCAACATATGTAAACATATATACACACGGTTTACAGATGTACATGCAAGCAGACTCGCACACACAGGGTTGCCACATCACAAACAAGCAACACGCACATGTACACACATACATACATACATACATACATACATACATACATATGCACACACACACACACAGAAGAGCACATATCCTCAACCTCCAACGCCCGAAACCCGAGACCCCAAAAGAATCGTTATGGACTTACCGAGCAGAGGTGCAGCCGGCGAGTCGGTTCCTCCCCTTGCCAGCTCGGAGGTGCCAGGGATCTTTAGAGAAGACTCAGGGGGCGTTTCTAAGGTTGAAGAACCAGAGACCCTAAAACTTAAATTTTGGCGTCCCAAGCCCTGAGTCCGAGACCCTACACACTCAACCCCGAATCAGAACACCCTCTTAACCCCAAGGTTCAAAATTCCTCAAAGCCTGTCAGAGCCGAGTTGGAAGTGCACATGGAATGCCGCGGCGAAGGAGTGTCAAACTCAACAGTCTAAGTCCTAAAACCTTCTGAACCCGAATTCCTCGAACCTTGAGAGCCCTAAATCCGCAAACCCTCAAAACCCCACTGCAGAATGTGCAACCCTACGTTGCACCCTAAACACCAAAACCCCATCGAAGACCCCAAACCCCAACCCCTGCTAGAGGGATCTTTCGTTAAATCAGCCCGCCCCTCAACCCTAAGCCCTCAACTCCCAAACACCAATACCACAACTTGTCAGCCCTAAACCCTATAAACCCCAAAATCCCTGAAGGCCCTAAACCGAAATCCCAAACCCGACATACCGAAACCCGACGTGAAGCACAGGCCGCCTCGGATTCCCTAGAGGCCACGAAGCCATTGGATGAAGATGATCCTTTGGAAGGCACCTTGAGAGGATTTCTGGTTACAAAGGCTTGTAGGTTGGGGGGGGGGGTGTTAGGGTTTGGGCTTGGGGTGTGACGGTTGAGGGTGTTGGGGTTTCCGATTTCTCGGGTTTAGGGTTCGGGGGTTTAGTTGTCAGCTCTTCGGTTCCATCACTGTTCTTTCTACACCCTGAACCCCGAACCCTAAACCCTCAACCTCTGTGGATGATCGCTGCAGAAAAAGGCCCTCAAAAAAAGAAACCCTAAACC